AACGCTTCCTACTGCATGTTCAAAATGCTCGGCCACGCCCCAAAGAGTCCAACTTCGGCATATGAATGTACTTACCATAACCTAAAATGGCGCTTCCAATAATGTGCAAAGTAGTACCTAAGGTTCAGATCCATCTATTAGTGCCACTCCCCGGACCTGCACCCCCTCACTTCTCTTTTCTGCCACTCTTGCTCAAGCCTGATGGCTGCCAGGGCTAAAATGAGCGAGTTGCGAAAGGGTCATGATCTAGCTACTGGACGATACCCATGATACTAATGCTTCAGAGCTGGAAGCGATAGCCTTGGAGACAGAGTGAGCTCTAAATGCCTTCTGAAGTCGGTTCAAGGGAGCTCGAGCTCCGTTTTGAGGGGCTACTGGATGAAGGAGCCCTAGCTCATCTCTACACAAAGCTGCAGCGATTTCTGAAAAGATTCCTCGATCTGAGGGAAAAATCTGTCCGTAGTCTGCCATCAGCGTGTCCGTGCCAGACTGCACCTTGCAAAAAAGGTCAAGCAGAACCTCATGCAGTACAGCTGGATGGCTCTTTTTCAGCACTTGTACAGCACGTACATTGCTCCTCCTTTCGACTAGAGCCCATATCAAAACCGAGCTGACGTCAGAAATTCAGCTGGTGGAATTCTGTGGTACACTCTTCTCTCAATGTTCCGGTACTGAAATGGAAGCCTTGAAACTTCCAGCAACTAATATTTCCCCTGAAAATAAACGAAAAAGCAAGGCTTGATGGAGATGTTCTCCTTCGATCGGCCATCGGAGTGGGTGTAATGAAATTATCACCAACGTCAACCGTTAATAACCCTTGAAATGGGCCAAATGTTAGCGCTGCTCCTGAGAATCTAAAAATGCAAGCTTGTTCATGAGCCGCATCCAGGAAAGTAATACTTGAGCCTAGGGAACATTCATTAATTTTACGGTTCCATCTGGATATCTCTCACTGATTTGCAGCAGCAAAGCTAATTTATAGTAACGGGCTGGGGTGGTATACGGTAAAGGGGAGCGTTCTGCATCCGGAGACGACGGTCCTAAAGCGTAGGCGCAAATTATTGTAATCGCGTGGCTTGAGCTTTCAGAGTTTGTCAAGTATTCCATGTCTGGGCTTTTTGACAGAATATAGGGGTATAAATGTGTTTTTTAACGAGAATAATCTTAGTCTAGTATTCCGGAAGGTGACTGCCTAACTCATACAAAATAAGCAGAGAGTTAGTCACCTGTACACCCCAGCATCCCATCATCCGTCAAGAGGAGGGGGGTTTGGTTGGGGAAGGATGGACACCTTCGTTTCGACGTGATCGTGATCAACTGTTAAAAACAGAAAAAAAAACAATCAAAAGTGCTGCTTCATGAAAGGGGTGCGGCTATATGTAGCGCACCTTGAACGGGAGAAGTCATCAATCGAAGAAATTTCATCTGTTTGAAAGCGACCTCCCTATACCCATCGACCGGAAACAATCAACGTCGAGGGCTCCTCAAGGCATGTCGCATGACCATGACTATAAATCCGTTCGTCTTGTGCATGTAATGAAAACCCTTTCTTGAGAAACGCAGCTGTTTTAAGATCAATAAACCTCATAATTACAACCGCATTTGCTGAAAATTTATGGCCCACCGATCGGCTCTTTCACTAGGATATACATGAGTTTTCTGTAAAGTAACTTTTCATGAGTCAACTCCCGAGCCCTGATTCTTTTAGAGGATTCCGCACCCTCCCATGTCCGTTGGTCTTTTCCAAAGAAACAATTTTTCAATAGGTTTCACATCCAGCTCAGCATGACAAGAGCATATTGCACAGTACCATTTTCAAGCCATCTTTCAAGGGGTTAGGGCAGGAGATTCTTCGGAATCACAGCGCCTATCGTTGCGCGCGATGTCGCTGTGACTTGCTGTCGCTAGTAATAATTCTACAGGTTTCAACGACATTTAAGTGTGTTTCTACTGTAGAAGGCT